CACGTGACCCTAACTCCACCCACTCCCCACGTGACCCAGACTCCGCCCCCCCTCAATCCTTGCTCGCATTACACTATGGCTGAAGGCTTGACCTGACGGTTCGGAGATTGAGACACTCCGAGGCGCGTTGAAACAATGGGCTGGAGATTCGTAGTGTTCAGGTGTAGTTGTCCCGTTACGTTGGGACTGTATCCCTCTGTTGTTATGGTGCATGTTGTACAGTGAGTGAACGATGGGTCGTCTCAGCTCGGTCGGTACAGCTATATGCTGCGATGCGAGTCTTGGAGAGAGACTGGGTTAAAATTCCCCCGATACGGCTGACGCGTGCTACTGGTTGTGACGCGCGTCGGAAAGGCGGTGGGGTGGTTACATAAAATTCCCCCCCGATATGGCCGACGTGGACGGTTTTAGGATGGAGAAGCCACGTCGGAAAGGTGGGGGGTGCTAACGGGTGACATGTAATGTATGTGGTGGTCCTCAGTGAGGGCTGCTGGGACGCAAGCACAGGTAGCCTTGGAGATGCGGTTCGCGCGTGCGGCCGCCATTTCTGGGCTAGAGCAGGCAGATTTATTTTGTTTGTGTCATGTCGATTTTATATATATACTAGCTTTACTACCCGGATTCGCCCAGGTCTTGGATCCACGACGCTAGGCCGCCTTTGTCTCCCCAGTGGCGATGTTCATACGCCACAGCAGTTACTCGTTTTGAGGCTGAGTCCCTCCCTCACCGCTCTCCCTCCCTCACCGCTCTCCCTCCCTCACCGCTCTCCCTCCCTCACCGCTCTCCCTCCCTCACCGCTCTCCCTCCCTCACCGCTCTCCCTCCCTCACCGCTCTCCCCCCCTCACCGCTCTCCCCCCCTCACCGCTCTCCCTCCCTCACCGCTCTCCCTCCCTCACCGCTCTCCCTCCCTCACCGCTCTCCCTCCCTCACCGCTCTCCCTCCCTCACCGCTCTCCCTCCCTCAGTGCTCTCCCTCCCTCACCGCACATTAATAAATAAGGCGATCTAAAGCCAATAACGTTGTTTATGATAAATGGTCGCGAAAGGTCACGTGTTACAAATTGACAAACTTTACTTAATAAGCAGGCTACAGTGTACATGATAGACTGCCAGTACACCCACCGAGCTGAATAAGCAGGCTACAGTCTACATTATAGACTGCCAGTACGCTCAGCCAGCTTAATGACTATTTGTAGAATGATAATTGAAAGAATCCATTCTTGGCGCGTGGGGTTTAAACATAATTATACAGTTGTTTTTTCATGAGAAATGGTAATTGTTGTGGTTTTACGCTTGAACACACCGGTGGGCTAAAGCAGTCAAGTCTTAGTCTTTTATGAACGTGACAAATTTTTGCAGATTGGGCGTGTCGGGTGGTGGATAAGGGTTACAACACCTTAATAAATAAGGCGATCTAAACCCAATAACGTTGTTTATGAATAATGTTTGCGAAAGCGTACGTGTTACAAATGGACTAACTTTACTTAATAACCAGGCTACAGTGTACATGATAGACTGGCAGTACACGCACGCAGCTGAATAAGGAGGCTACAGTGTACATTATAGACGTCCAGTACGCTCAAGCAGCGTTCCCCCCCCCCCGCGCTACAATAATACTGTGTAATGGCTATTATTTATTTATCTACGGAGCCTATAATAGTCATTGAACACATTGTGGTGGGAGGGGAGTGAAGAGAAGGTGAAAGTGTGATGAATTAATGTCAGAGTCGCGTGTTAATGCGTGCGCCTATTTTTAACGGGAATAAAAAATGGCGTCCAGCCCTTGGCGAAGGCGTCGCTACCCGTTCGCAGGGGCAACCGCCGTCCAATGAAAGCGGCGAAGGCGTAGCTACCCGTTGCCAGGGGCAACCGCCGTCCAATGAAACTGCAGCCCGCGGCGAAGGCGTCGCTAGCCGTTGCCAGGGGCAACTGCCGTCCAATGAAAGCGGTGAAGGCGTCGCTAGCCGTTGCCAGGGGCAACCGGCGTCCAATGAAAGTGCGTATGGTCCGGCAACACACACACACACAGACAGACAGACAGATTCGCGATTTTATATATATAGATTTTAAAATGTGGAGCAGCCCTGAAGTGCGACTTCTTTGCCCAGTACATGGGTCGACCCTGAAGTACGACTTCTCGACCCGGGACGTAGACAGACATCCAGAATGTTAATTAATGTGTGTAGAGGGGTGCTAGACATGTTGATATTTGCCTTCTCACCACCTGACGGATGGGACAGTGGTACGGTGGTGTGGAACCCTGCCATCCATGGGGTGGTTGTGTGATTTCTGTTCGATTACCGGTGTTGGTTGTGCATCCAACGCATCGGAATCTGTATATTTTTGTTTTATTTTCTCCCACCGGGCGGTATACAATCATCTCCACTACCCTGGGGCTGGGTGACTGTCATGTCCGAAGAGTGGAGGCGAGTGTTCGTTGAGTGATGCCTCAGGAGGGTTTGTTTCTCGTCACAGGAGGGGCAGTATCTACCTGGCACCTTGGACTGGCCGGTTATGCCGACCGGCTATGGACTGGGGGGGAGGGAGTGGAGCATGCGTCAGCTACTCCTGCTCCTCCTGTTCTTGACTCCTGGGGAGGGGGCGTGCCCTTTGGGCCGCTTCTGGTTTCCCAGGGCCTCCAGGGGGGGTGTGTGCACCTGCCCTGGGGGGCCCGGCCACATGGACTTGTGGAAGACTGGCTGCTCTACATGGCTCTCAGACGCCTTGCTCATTGCCTACGCCGTCGTTCCAATGGCCACACTCACATGTCGGTGCATGCGCGATTCTCACGGGGAGGCTGTGCTGGAGCATAAGTGGGTTAGCCAGTTTTCATGTATATTTGTTGTTGTTAATTCCCCGTTTTCTATGGGGTTCCCTTCCTTTTACCCTCGTCGATTCTGTGTATATTACGTGATTGTATTTCTTATCGGACGCCGGTCATTTATTGATGTTGCTGGTTCGGAGGCACACTGTTTCACAGTTGTGTTACAGCCGGGGACGGCTGTGTGTTTATACAGGGGGGGGGGGGGTGATGTAGTGACATAGGACGTCACTGCTGTGTCGGCCCGTACGAGGGCTGGGGGCCCCAAGGGGGTGCCTGGGGGGTCACGTGGTGGAGGGACCCAGACCTTTCCTTGAGGTGGGGGAAGGGAGGCGTGGCCTGGGAAGGGAGGCGTGGCCTGTCAGAGCCGGCCACGCCTGGGCGGAGCCGGCCACGCCGGAGCGGATATAAGCGGGGTGTGGATGCAGAGCGGGGCTGTTGAACTCCGAAGTGAAGACGACATCATCGGTCCTCAAGTCCCGGGTCGTCGTCCTGAACCAGACAGCCCGTTGCCTGCCTGGTCCACTCTGTGTCGTGTTCCAGAGTGTTAGTGAGTTGAGGAAGGTGGTCACCACCTCATGTACAGTGTTATATTACTTACCGTTTAATAAATAGTGTTGCCTCCAAGCTGTGTGTGTGTGCACCTAATTCGAACCCACTACACCTGTATAAAAGACACCTGTTCACAGAAGCAATCAATCAATCAGATTCCAAACTCTCCACCATGGCCAAGACTAAAGAACTATCCAAGGATGTCAGGGACAAGATTGTAGACCTACACAAGGCTGGAATGGGCTACAAGACCATCGCCAAGCAGCTTGGTGAGAAGGTGACAACAGTTGGTGTGATTATTCGCAAATGGAAGAAACACAAAAGAACTGTCAATCTCCCTCGGCCTGGGACTCCATGCAAGATCTCACCTCGTGGAGTTGCAATGATCATGAGAACGGTGAGGAATCAGCTCAGAACTACACGGGAGGATCTTGTCAATGATCTCAAGGCGGCTGGGACCATAGTCACCAAGAAAACAGTTGGTAACACACTACGCCGTGAAGGACTGAAATCCTGCAGCGCCCGCAAGGTCCCCCTGCTCAAGAAAGCATATATACATTCCCGTCTGAAGTTTGCCAATGAACATCTGAATGATTCAGAGGACAACTGGGTGAAAGTGTTGTGGTCAGATGAGACCAAAATGGAGCTCTTTGGCATCAACTCAACTCGCCGTGTTTGGAGGAGGAGGAATGCTGCCTATGACCCCAAGAACACCATCCCCACCGTCAAACATGGAGGTGGAAACATTATGCTGTGGGGGTGTTTTTCTGCTCAGGGGACAGTACAACTTCACCGCATCAAAGGGACGATGGACGGGGCCATGTACCATCAAATCTTGGGTGAGAACCTCCTTCCCTCAGCCAGGGCATTGTAAATGGGTCGTGGATGGGTATTCCAGCATGACAATGACCCAAAACACACGGCCAAGGCAACAAAGGAGTGGCTCAAGAAGAAGCACATTAAGGTCCTGGAGTGGTCTAGCCAGTCTCCAGATCTAAATCTCATAGAAAATCTGTGGAGGGAGCTGAAGGTTCGAATTGCCAAACGTCAGCCTCGAAACCTTAATGACTTGGAGAAAATCTGCAAAAAGGAGTGGGACAAAATCCCTCCTGAGATGTGTGCAAACCTGGTGGCCAACTAGAAGAAACGTCTGACCTCTGTGATTGCCAACAAGGGTTTTGCCACCAAGTACTAAGTCATGTTTTGCAGAGGGGTCAAATACGTATTTCCCTCATTAAAATGCAAATAAATTTATAACATTTTTGACATGCGTTTTTCTGGATTTTGTTGTTGTTATTCTGTCTCTCACTGTTCAAATAAACCTACCATTAAAATTATAGACTGATCATTTCTTTGCCAGTGGGCAAACGTACGAAATCATCAGGGGATCAAATACTTTTTTCCCTCACTGTATGTCTGGCACAGAAACCCACAGTCTCACACATAGACCCAGACTTACACACACACCCGCAGACTCACACAGAGACCTATAGACTCACCACACAGAGACCCATGAACTCGCAGAGAACCATAAACTCACATAGAGAACCATAGACTCATACAAAGACACATAGACTCACAAACAAACCCACAGACTCACCACATACACACACACTCGCTGACTTACCTCCACCGTACGTCTGGCACAGATATGGGAATCTCCAGACGTTGCCAAGACCAACCGCAAAGCCGACACAGCTGAGGAGATAGTCAGCCTTGGTCCCCCACTGCGCCCTCTCACGGCCGCCTTTGTTTTCATTCATCCTCACCCTGCTGTATCGGGTTTTTTTTAGAGGCAAACGATGTCATAGGCGCAACAGTAGATCGTTCATAAATGAGGTAATAATCGTGCGTACGATAGTACCAATCACTCAAAAACTAACTCATAAACTCACTCATACACTCACATGCTCATACATTCACTCAAATACTCACTCATATACTGACTCATGCACTCACTCAAGCACTCACTTATACACTCAATCAAATACTTACTTGGTTTAAAAATAACTATGTATCCTGACCTTTCGGGCCACCCAGTATAATAACCATATGTGTCCTGATTTGTATGCCTCCCTGTATAATAACCCGATGTGTCCTATTAGGCCACCTGTATAATAACCCTATGTGTACTGACTTTAGGCCACCTTCATAATAACCCTATGTGTCCAAACTTTTAGGCCACCTTTATCATAACCCTATGTGTCTTGAATTTTGGGCCACTCTGTATAATAACTATATGTGTCCTGACTTTTCGCCACAATGTAAGATAATAACCCTATGTGTTTTAACTTTTGGGCCACCCTGTATAATAACCCTGTGTTTCCTGACTTTTGTCTCACCCTGGATAATAACCTTACGTGTCCTGACTTCAGGAACTCCCTGTATAATAACTCGATATTTCCTGGTATTGGGCCACCTTGTATAATCCTGACTTTTATGCCACCTGAATAAAAACCCTATGTGTTCTGACTTTAGGCCACTCTGTATAATGAACCTGTTTCTTGAATTGTGGGCCACCCTGGACAATAACTAAATGTTTCCTGACTTTTAGGCCACCTGTATAATAATCCTGTGTACTAACGTTTAGGCCAACCTATGTGTCTTGACTTTGGGCCACCGTGTATAATAACCCGATGTGTCCTGACTTTTTGGCCACAATGAAAAATAATAACCCTTTGTGTTTTAAATTTTGGGCCACCCTCATAATAACCCTATGTGTCCCGATTTTTGGGCCACTGTGCAAAATAACCCTGTGTTCATTACTTGTAGGCCACGTTTTTAATAATCCTATGTGTCCTGACTTTTGGTCCACCCTGTATAATGTCCATGTGTCCTGATTTTTGGGCCACCCTGTATAATGAACCTGTGCCTTGACTTTTGGGCCACTCTGTACAATGACACTATATGTCCTGAATTTTAGGTCACCCTGTGTAATTAACCTGTTTCTTGAATTGTGGGCCACCTGTATAATAATCCTGTGTCCCGATTTTTAGGCCACCTGAATAACCCTATGTGTTTTAACTTTTGGGCCACCCTGTATAATAACATTGTGTGTCTTGGCTTTAGGCCAACTTTATAGTAACCCTATGTATTCTCACTTGTAGGCCACCTGTATAAAAACCCTCTGTATCCTGACTTTTGGGCCACTGTAAAATAACTATGTGTCCTGACTTGTAGGCCCCCTGAATGAAAACTCTACGTGTCCTGCCTTGAGGCCACCTGTATAATACCCTCATGTGTCCATCATTTTAGGCCACTTATATAATAACCCTGTGTATCCTGACTTTTGGGGCACTCTTTATAATAACCCAATGTGTCGTGAATTGTCGGCCACCTGTATAAAAATCATATTTGTTCTGACTTTAGGTCACCCTGTATAATGACTCTGTGTTCTGACTTTCAGGCCACCGTGAATAATCACATCTGTCTTGATTTTTAGGCCACCTATATAATAACCCTATGTATCCTGAATTTTAGGTCAAGCTATATAAAGAACCTGTACTTTTAGTTTTTTTCGGAAAAGTCACGAAGGTAAAAAATTATAAAAAAATGTTTTTTAATGAAAACAACTAAATGAAATCACGACGTTTCGGAAGCAACACAAGCCTCCGTCTTTAGGTGGAACCGCCACAGCAACATTACTGTAATTTTACTGTGGTGATTTAATTTAGTTGTTTTCATTTTAATTTATTTTATTATTTTTTACCTACGTGACTTTACCGAAAAAAACTAAAAGTATGGATCCTTGCAGTCATGAAAACTTAAAATCTAGAATGAACCTGTGTCTTGAATTTTGGGCCAACCTCTACAATAACTACGTGCCCTGACTTTTAGGCCACCTGTATAGTAACCCAATGTGTCCTGAATATTATGCAACCTTGAAAAATGAACCTGTACCTTGACTTTTAGACCACTTATACTGGTAGTAACCTCCTGGTTACACCAGCCCACGGGGGATTATTCTGTCCGTCGTGCATTCCAAATATGGGAGGGGTGGGTGGCGATGGGTGGAGAGGGGAGGGAGGGGCTTGGTTGGGAGGGTAGGGTGGGGAGGGGCCAGTGGTGGGGAGGGAGGGGCTGCGTGGGGAGGGTGGGGAGGGGCTGGGTGGGGGAGGGGCTGGGTGGGGGGTAGGAGGGGTGGGGCTGGGTGAGGAGGGGCTGGTCTCCCCGTGGTGGCCTTATAAAACTAAACGTTTTACAGGTAGGAACAACAGATTCCACACTGCCCACCAGGGATTATTTGTCTGTCGTGAATCGGAATGCAGCCCACCCATGCACCCCCCCCCCACCGACCGCCGAGCAGGGCCACGATTGGTTGAGGATGTCGGGGAGGGTGGGGGGAAGGTAAACACGACCAATCATCCAACTTCCCCCCCCCCCCAAATGCCGAGCGGGGCTGCCATTGGTAGAGGTGGGGTGTAAACACGCCCACTCATGCAATCCCCTCCCCACCGAATATGAGCAACGCCGCGATTGTTGTCGATGTCGGGGAGGGTGGGAAGGGTAAACATGCCCACTAATCCAACTGCCCCCCCCAAACGCCGAGCGGGGCCGCCATTGGTAGAGGTGGGGTGTAAACACGCCCACTCATGCAATCCCCTCCCCACCGAATACGAGCAACGCCGCGATTGGTTGACAATGTCGAGGAGGGTGGGGGGGAAGGGTAAACATGCCCACTCATCCAACTGCCCCCCCCCCCTGAACGCCGCACTGAGTGTGTGTGTGAGTCTGAAAGTGTGAGAGTGTGTGTGTGAGTCTGAGAGTGTGAGGGTGAGTGTATGTGTGTGTGAGTGTGAGAATGTGTGTGAGTCTGAGAGTGTGAAAGTGAGTGTATGTGTGTGTGAGTCTGGGAGTGTGTGTGTGTGAATCTGAAAGTGTGAGTGTGTGAGTCTGAGAGTGTGAAAGTGAGTGTATGTCTGTGTGAGTCTGAGAGTGTGAGGGTGTGTGTGAGTCTGAGAGTGTGAGAGTGAGTGTGTGTGTGAGTCTGAGAGTGTGAGAGTGTGTGTGTGGATATGAGTCTGAGAGTGTGAGAGTGAGTGTATGTGTGGGTGGGTCTGAGAGTGTGAGAGTGTGTGTGAGTGTGAGAGTGAGTGTATGTGTGTCTGAGAGTGTGTGTGAGTCTGAGAGTGTGAGAGTGATTGTGTGTGTGTGAGTCTGAGTGTGTGAGTGTATGTGTCTGTGAGTCTGAGAGTGTGTGAGTCTGAGAGTGTGAGAGTGTGTGTGTGAGTCTGAGAGTGTGAGTGTGTAAGTCTGAGAGTGTGAGAGTGAGTGTATGTGTGCGTGAGTCTGAGAGTGTGAGTGTATGTGTGTGTGAGTCTGAGAGTGTGTGTGTGTGAGTCTGAGAGTGTGAGAGTGCGTGTGAGTCTGAAAGTGTGAGAGTGTGTGTGTGTGTGAGTCTGAGAGTGTGAGAGTGAGTGTGTATGTGTGTGAGTCTGAGAGTGTGAGTGTGTGTGTGAGTCTGACAGTGTGAGAGTGTGTTTTGTGTGGGTCTGAGAGTGTGAAGTGAGTGTATGTGTGTGAGTCTGAGAGTGAGTGTGTGTGTGAGTCTGAGAATGTGAGGGTGAGTGTGTGTGAGTCTGACAGTGTGAGAGTGAGTGTGTGTTTGTGAGTCTGAGAGTATGAGAGTGAGTGTGTGTGCGAGTCTGAGAGTGAGTGTGTGAGTCTGAGAGTGTGAGAGTGAATGTGTGTGTCTGAGAGTGAGTGTATGTGTGAGTCTGAGAGTGAGTGTGTGAGTCTGAGAGTGAGTGTATGTGTGTGTGAGTCTGAGAGTGTGAGAGTGCATGTGTGTGTGTGTGAGTCTGACAGTGTGAGGGTGAGTGTGTGTGTGTGTGTGTGAGTCTACCAGTGTGAGTGTGTGAGTCTGAAAGTGTGAGAGTGAGTGTGTGAGTGTGTGTGTGAGTCTGAGAGTGAGTGTATGTGTGTGAGTCTGAGAGTGTTTGAGTTGTAAGTGTGTGTGTGTGAGTCTGAGAGTGTGTGAGTCTGAGAGTGTGAGGGTGTGTGTGTGAGTCTGAGAGTGTGAGTGTGTAAGTCTGAGAGTGTGAGAGTGAGTGTATGTGTGCGTGAGTCCGAGAGTGTGAGTGTATGTGTGTGTGAGTCTGAGAGTGTGTGTGTGTGAGTCTGAGAGTGTGAGAGTGCGTGTGAGTCTGAAAGTGTGAGAGTGTGTGTGTGTGTGAGTCTGAGAGTGTGAGAGTGAGTGTGTATGTGTGTGAGTCTGAGAGTGTGAGTGTGTGTGTGAGTCTGACAGTGTGAGAGTGTGTTTTGTGTGGGTCTGAGAGTGTGAAGTGAGTGTATGTGTGTGAGTCTGAGAGTGAGTGTGTGTGTGAGTCTGAGAGTGTGAGTGTGTGTGAGTCTGACAGTGTGAGAGTGAGTGTGTGTTTGTGAGTCTGAGAGTATGAGAGTGAGTGTGTGTGCGAGTCTGAGAGTGAGTGTGTGAGTCTGAGAGTGTGAGAGTGAATGTGTGTGTCTGAGAGTGAGTGTATGTGTGAGTCTGAGAGTGAGTGTATGAGTCTGAGAGTGAGTGTATGTGTGTGTGAGTCTGAGAGTGTGAGAGTGCATGTGTGTGTGTGTGAGTCTGACAGTGTGAGGGTGAGTGTGTGTGTGTGTGTGAGTCTACCAGTGTGAGTGTGTGAGTCTGAAAGTGTGAGAGTGAGTGTGTGAGTGAGTCTGAGAGTGAGTGTATGTGTGTGAGTCTGAGAGTGTTTGAGTTGTAAGTGTGTGTGTGAGTCTGAGGGTGAGTGTATGTGTCTGTGAGTCTGAGAATGTGAGGGTGAGTGTGTGAGTCTGAGAGTGTGATGGTGTGTGTGTGTCCTGACTTTTAGGAGACCCTTATAATGAACCAGTACCTCGACTTTTGCGCCACCCTTTATAATGACCCTATGTGCCCTGATTTTTAGGCCACCTGTTTACTATTCCTATGCGTTCTGAATTTTAGGCCACCCTGTAAAATAACCCTCTGTGTCCTGAATTTGGGGCCAACCTATATAATAACCCAATATATCCAGATATTTGGGCCAACCTATATAATAATAACAACCCTATGTCTTTACTTTTGGGCCACCTTTATAATAACCCTATATATTCTGACTTTTAGGCCACTGTATAATGAACCTGTATCTTGACTTTTCGGCCACCCTGTATAATAACCCTACGTGTCCTCACTTTTTGGCCACCCTGTATAAAAATGACCCTATATGTATTTACTTTTGGGATACCCTCTATAATAACCATTTGTGTTCTGACTTTAGGCCACCCTTTATCCTATTTCTCCTGACTCTTGTGCCACCGTGTATTATGACCCTACATGTCTCGACTGCTGGGCCACTGTGTATAATAACCCTGTGTCCTAATTTTAGGGTACCCCTGTATAATAACCCTATATTTCCTCACTTTAACGCCACCCTGTATAATGAACCTGTTTCTTTAATTTTGGGCCACCCTGCACAATAACTACATGTATTCTGACTTTTAGGCCACGTGTATAATCAGCATTCGTGTCCGGACTTTTAGGCCACCTTATATAATCAACCTAAGCATCCTGAATTTTAGACCACCTGTATAACAAAACTATATCCATACTTTTGGGCCACCCTGTATAATGACCCTATGTCACTTGACTTTGAGCCACCCGGTATAATGACTCTATATGGCTTGACTTTGGGGCCACGATTTATAACGACCCTATGTGTTCTGACTTTTGGGCCACCCTGTATAATAACCCTGTGTCATGACTTTTCGGCCACCGTGTATAATAAACCTAGGTGTCTTGCATTTTGGGCCACCCTGTATAATGACCCTATGTCTCTTGACTTTGAGACACCCTGTATAACAACTCTGTATGTCTTTACTTTCAGGCCACCCTGTATAATAAACCTATGTGTCTTGCATTTTGGGCCACCCTGTATAATGACCCTGTGTACTGACGTTTAGGACACCTATATAATAACCCTGTGTCGATACCTTTGGGCAACCCTGTATCATAATGACCATGTGCCCCGACTCAACAATGACCGTAGACTCAGCACTGGCCATAGACTCAACACTCCCCATATACTAACAATGCACATAGACGCAGCACTCACCATAGACTCAACAAAACATGTAGACTCAACATTGCCCAAACTCAACATTCCCCAAGGACTCAACATTGCCCGTAGATTCAACACTGCCCGTAGACTCAACACTGCCTATAGATACAACACTGCCCGTAGATTCATCACTCCACAGCAATTCAACACTGCCCGTAGATTCAACACTGCCCATAGACTCAACACTGCCCGTAAATCCAACACTCCCCATCGATTCAGCACTGCCCGAAGATGCAACACTGCCCGTAAATTCACCTCCCCATCGATTTAACACTGCCCTTAAATTCAACACTCCACATCGATTCAACACTGCCCGTAGATTGAACACTGCCCATAGACTCAACACTGCCCGTAAATCCAACACTCCCCATCGATTCAACACTGCCCATAGATTTAACACTGCCTGTAGACTCAATTACTGCCCGTAGACTCAACACTGTCCGTAAATTCACCTCCCCATCGATTCAACACTGCCCGTAGACTCAACACTGCTCGTAGACTCAACATTGCCCCTAAACTTAGCACTGCCCTTAAACTCAGCACTACCCGTAGACTCACACTGTCCGTTGACTCAACACTGTCTGTAGACTGAACACTGCCCGTAGCCTTAACACTGCCCGTAGACTCACCACTGCCCGTATACTCAACACAGCCCGCAGTCTATGAGTCTTTGTTAGTCTATAGGTCTCTGTGTGAGTCTATGGGTCTCTGTGTGAGACTGTGGGTCTCTGTTTAAATGTGAGTCTATGAGTCTCTGTGTGGGTGTATGGGTCTCTGTGTGAGTTTATCGGTCTCCGCGTGAGTCTATGGCTCTTAAAGTGACACCATCACATGTGGTGTAACGGGCCAGGTGTGAGTGTCCCGAGCTAATCTCACCTGGTGAGTGGGAAGAGCCGCAATTGTCGCTGCGATTGTCTGGGGATGTCTCCCTCTCCACAGCACGGAGATAAATGGGAACCTTCCCAACACCAGCAGATGTTTTATACGCACGTAGGGGTGGGTTTGAAAGGAGTGGCATTAATGTGAAGCACGGGTGTTTAGTGGACGATTAACAGAAGTTAAATAAGCATATTTATTTTAAGACCCTCCCCCACCACCAAGACAACAATAACAGCAACTCGCTTGAGCAGTTCAACACAAAAGACACAGATCCCCAGTGTGGCGTTAACAGACTGTTGGGGCAAATTCTGTTAGCGAGCACCTATAAAGGCTGGCATGGCAAACGAGGGAGTGGGTGGCCAGGACCACGCCCGGCCGCCTTTGTCTCCCTAGTGGCGATGTTTACACACCGCACCTTTGGGCCACACACACAGAGACCTCCAGACTCATACACACAGAGACCCGCAGAACCAGAGCAACCCACAGACACACACACAGTCCACAGACTCACAGAGAGACCCACAGATTCACACAGAAACCCACAGACTCACACATAGAGCCCCACAGACTCACACAGAGAGCCATAGACTCACAAACACACACAGACCCGCATACTCACACAGAGACCCACAAATTCACACACCGAGACCCCAATACTCATACAAAGACCCACATACTCACACACAGAGACCCGCAAACACATACAAGAAACCAGTCTCACACGGAGAGACACACAGACTAACAGAGAGACCCACAGATTCAAAAGACGAGACAAAAATCCCCCGTATAGACATAACAAACTGTTGGGGCAAGTGCTGTTAGCGAGCACCTATAAAGGCCAGCACAGCACACGATGTGTTCGTGGCCAGCATTATAATGTTTGTTCGACCACCTTTGTCTCCCCAGTGGCGATGTTTATACACACCGCACCAAGTACTAATTTGAGGCAGAGTCGACCTAGGGGAGGTCCAGGACCGATTCAGATAATCGTCACCGGTAGTCATCACCGGAAATCAAACTCGGGTGGCCGGGTTCGTAGCGCAACACGCTAACCACTGCGCCAAGATCGGCCCCTGTGGAGGAGGTTCGTTAAATATGCTACTAGGCAGTACCAGCCTAGGTGTACAGTGAGGCTACTGGTCAGTTGGAGGCAGTCGCCCCCAGCAACAATGGAGAGCAGATGAGCGATGCTCACAAAAACGAGCATAGCGCCGGGCATATTAAACGCAGCAAGTTGGCATAGTAGGGGCACAGCTGGTGCATCTCAGGCCGTCAACTCATAGCACCTGGGTCCCTGCACCTAGCATCGTACAGTAATCAACCCATGGCACCTGGGTCTGTCCAGTGACCTCCTGTACCTAGCCAGGCACATCAGTCAACATGTTACACCTGTGCATTGGTGGCCGAGCAAGTGTATGAGTGAGTGTACATATTCTACTTCGGGAGCGTTGGCCCAGGAGACCACGAGTTCCATTCCCACTCACGGCCAACACGCACACAGAGACCCACAGACTCATTCAGATTTTCCCATAGAACTACAGCGATCCCACCATCCTGGAGGATCACCATCCCTGGCGAACTGGGAGCTGAACGTTTTAGGACATCGTAAAGCGGTGTGGTACTCTCAGATTACATTGAGATTCCTCCTAACTCCGAGTTATGATGAATGAGTTCTGCTCTTGTGCAACATGGCAGCAGCAAGCAGCAAACTAAACTCTTTTTGCTTTTACCAGGTAAGGACTACTGAGTTATGTAACTATTTTTTAGAAGCGACCTGGCTACAAATGGTAGCTCACTTCTGTTTACTAACCCTCATCTCTTCCACAACCCGTTCCTGTGGGTGTCAAGCAGGAGCCGTAACATCTCTCACTGGGAGGTGGTGCAGCAAATTGCGGACTAACCTTAATTTGAATGTATGTTGAACTCCTTTCGCACCGAACGTAGCCAACCGCGCAAATCGGAGGTACAGGTGAAGGACAACAAACTAAACACCATAACAAACAGTTTTAAAGAAATTATTTTCAATCTGGATAGAATGTTTCCCACTCGCATGCTTGGGCTTCGCTTTCCTCCCACGTGTATAAAAAACACGCATTGTCTGTTGACATCTTAATATATAGAGGACTGCGGACCTTGTGCAATTGTTGGAAACGCCGGCTCCTGACGACTGTGTAGCTGCTGCTGCCACCCCCTGATCTAAACTAAATAACTATGTTTGACTTTAGCAGGTAAGGCCCACTGATATATGTAGCTCTTTATCAGAAGCGGTGACCATAAATGATAGCTCCACGAAGTGGCTTATCACGTGGACATTTGTAGCAGCAGTCATACTCTGAACACGTGATGTTTATTCTAAATGTGGAGGAAAAAAACCGGAGTTCCCGGGGAAACATCCACGGGGAGAGAGACACGCAAACTCCAAATATACAACAGGTGTCAAGGGTCAGGATCGAACCCACGACCTCCTGAATACCAGATGAGGGAATTCACATCTCGCCACGGTGTCACCGATCTATGGTCCACCATATACGATAAAGGGGTTAGGACAGCAGCCAAGCAGCCATGCAACTAGGAAGGCAACCAGGCAGAGACTTGCAAAGCTGATCCTCGACCTTCCATCACCTCACGGCTGTAGGACTCGACCTGTGACACCGGATTAACCGCCAGTCACACTTCGGGGCTTGCTTTACATTTTAATCATTGCTGGTGATTCGTTCATTCACCAGACCCGCTGGCCCCGTGAGGTATCTCTCGTTAATGGGTAACTTCCCGTCCTACAGAGTGAGACGGGACTGGGGGCGGGGGGTTCGGTATAGCCTGGTGGGGAGCGGTGGTGCAGTGGTTAGCGCACTCCAACTACGCTACGAGCCCAACGACCCAAGTTCGATTCCCACTCACGACCCAAAAAACGATTGGCGAATATTTTGAACCAGAATCTTTAATTACCAAAAATGTCCAGTAGTGCTGGGCCTCCCCTAGGTCGACTCAGCCTCAAATGAGAACCTGATGTGCGGTGTGTTGTAAAAATCGCCACTGGGGAGACAAAGGCGGCCGGGAGTGGTGCTGGCCACCCACCCTCTCGTGTGCCGTGCTGGCCTTCATAGCTCCTCACTAAGAGCACTTGCCCCAAGTCTGTTAAGGCTATACGGGGGATCTTTGTCTCTGTGCGAGTTTGTTGGTCTCTCTTTGTGTCTATGAGTCTCACGTGAGGCCTCTCGTAGGTCGACTCAGGATGAAATAGTACCTGGTGCAGAGTGTCCTAAACATCGCCACTGGGGAGACAAAGGCGGTCAGGCTTGGTGCTGACCACCCACCCCCTCATTTGCCACATTGCCGGCCTTCATAGGTGTTCGCTAACAGCACTTGCCTTAACAGCCTGCTAGAGGCTCCACGGGGGAGCTTTGTTTTTGCGTTGGACGGCTAGTGGAGCTGAAAAAATCTGCTGACTGATTAAACACGAAGGTGGTTGAATCATCTCTCACACAAGGACACCGTGCCCAAAAGGATTGGACACCGCATGCTCCCCAAGGTAGAGGCACCGTCATACATGTGCCGCGTAGCCTCTCACCAACAGGGACTCTGGGTTTAACTCCCGACCCGGGCGGTCCTCTTTTTGTTGAGTTTGTATCAGAATCAAAATATAAATTTATACTGGAGGAATTCGATGATCTATGAAGCTCTTTTTCACAGTGTTCTCCCATTGTTCTGTAGAGTGAATTTGTCTTTGTATAACACGGGCTAGAAGAGAGATATACTGATGGTTGAGTGAGTGAATGAATATGTCGTGACATAGAATGGGTCACTACGTAGCATAGCGCTGCTTGCTGACAGAGAAGGGGATCTGCAGTTGCAGCAGCTCTGACTGACAGCAGGTCGCGTGACAAGCCAGAGAGAGGGATGTAAGGGAAAGGTTACAGAGGGGGCACGGAGAGAAGCCCGAAGACCCGCGAGTAGGTTCTGGAAAGGGTGCGTGGCTGGGGCGGAGCAAGGCCACACTGGGAGGATAAAAGTGGACCCGAGCGAAGGCTTGGGGCTGTCACCGTGAGTAGGATCCCGTCGTTCACCTGTGGTGCCACGACCGTGGAGCAACTCCGCAAGCGCCGCGACTCCCTCCCGGCCCCCACACTAAACACACACCCGCATGCAGAACACCCACGTAGTGTCCTGGCGGGGGGGGGGGGGGGTTGCCTGGCACATCGGGTTTTAATCGGAAGGGCCCCTAGGGGGAGAGTCCCATGGTTTCCCAGTGCCAGGAGATTGGCTGACCCCCACAGGACAGGTTACATTGCAGTGCCCTTAAATTGGCTTAAAATTGTATGGGTGCAAAAAGGCGAGGTTCCCTGGGCCAACCGCAATGAGTTACTCACAACATTGTGGGGAGAACGGAGGGTGGAATATTAGGCGTAAAGAGCAAAACCGAAGGCTCAAACTACTGGGCACTGGAGAACAATGGGTAATGTTGTATATGTTGGTTATGAAAATTTGTTATGTTGTATGCGTGCGTGGGTGAAATTATTATGTTGTATATGTGGGTTATGAATATTCAGTGAAAATAATAATAATTAAATGAAATTTGGCCAAATGTGTAATTATCCGGAAATATGTTAATTTATGTAATTATGCACATTTTAATTATGCCAATTCGAGAGGTAATCGTATTAATTATGCGAGTGGGTGTAATTATGATAATGAAAGTCGTTATGATAACCAGACCCCGCCTCGGTGACGAGGGTGGGTTATCGATCGGAATAAGGCAATTAATCGTATGCGGTTATGCAGGTGTGGTGTAAGTATGCAAGATTAACTTAGATTAACTCGGCATCGTTGTCTAGGTTCGTCTCATTCTCGCTTTAACATTCCCAGAGTGGGTATTCGTGGTTATATTTAGGTCCCCGGGTCACCCCGTTATCGCTTTAACATTTACTGAGTATGTATTAGTGTGTTTATTAAGGTCACCAAGTTCAAATCTCAACGCAGAAGCAGATCTTATGCATAGATTTCAGGAAAGAATCACACAACCACTTCTGTATTGATCAATTTATTACTAATTCAA